AAAAAGAGAGAGAACATACATTGAGAAGGTACTCAGCAACTACCAACGGATCTTCGGACACATGCCCAAACAAGCCTCTCTCCACTCATCAAAGGAGACCATCCAGAGACTGACACAACAGAGCTACTCGATATGACACACAAAAGATATATCAGTACTCATCGGTAGTCTACAATGGGCAATCCAAATTGGAAGGTTCGATATCGCCACGGCCACCATGACGATGTCCAGATTTCGGGCAGCACCAAGAATGGGTCACTTAGAACGAGTCAAGAGAATCTGCGGGTACCTTTCCAAGATGCGACACGGCATCATACGCATCCGAAAGGAGGAACCGGATTACTCAGCGATTCCTAAGAAAGAGTACGAATGGGAATACTCATGCTACCATGGTGCCAAAGAAGTTCAACCGCACAACGCACCGGTACCTCGAGGCAAACGGGTCATTCTCACCACATATGTGGATGCGAACCTCTATCACGATCTCATCAGTGGACGGTCAGTTACCGGAGTCCTGCACCTAGCGAACAAGACTCCCATCGACTGGTTCAGCAAGCTACAGTCAACAGTCGAGACCGCAACGTTCGGATCTGAATATGTTGCAGCCCGTACCGCCACTGAGCAGATCATTGACCTACGAAGCACATTCAGGTACCTAGGAGTACTGGTCGACACGCCGACCATGATGTTCGGAGACAACGAGACGGTAGTCAACACCGCCTCGATGCCACACTCAAAGATTCTCAAAAGACACAATGCGCTTTCCTACCACCGTACTAGGGAAGCTGTTGCTGCAAGTATCTTGAGATTTCATCATATCCCTGGATCTACTAACCCTGCAGATATCCTCAGCAAACACTGGGACTATACATCGGTATGGCCTATGCTGAATGCACTACTGTTTTGGTCAGGAGATACCAAGGATTGCGGTAAGAAACACTCAGAGTCGACAGTCGCCACTGAGGGGAGTGAAAGCGTTGCTTACAGTTCCTCCCACGACTCAGAGTATCCGTGAGTAGATTGAGTCATGCTTTATGGGTCAACACGATGGAACAGAGAACGCTGGCAAGAACACGTTCTCAACGAAACCAAAGGACACAGTAAATTGGAGTATTCGACAGGAGTAAAGCATCCTGCCAACGAACCGTTTCCCGCAGATACCACGTTGACTTCCGTATGAATCAAGATCAACTACCACGATGCATTGATCTAACTCGCTACGAACTAGCTTTACTGATCGCATCAATCAAAGCTCACAACACAGATTATGAATTACTAAGAAGCGAACTTTGCATTTACTTTGCACTTGTCTTGAATAGTTGCAGTTGATCTCGTTGGGTGGTAGCTACCTCTACAAGATCCCTCTATTCAAGTAGTATTTCCTCATGTTAGCACTAGTAATACTGCAGCTTATTGGGGAGTAATTCGGTGGGACAAGCAACTGGTATCGTGTTGTCAGTAGCAACATGATCAATTGAGGGAGACTCCTGGGTCGCTTGCTCGGTGGTTGGTTCATCGTTGGGCGACATCCTTGATGGAGAGACTGGTTCAGTCGGTGCATTGGCGGAGCCGAGATTGTTGCGCGTATCATGTGTGGTAGTACTGCGTCGTGTATCCTTCGCAGAGATGGAGACGAGATCCTCTATAGTTGTCTCAGTGGATTTAGTCTGGCTGTTGAGTTGAATATCAATTGCAGTGGAGAGCTGAGATGTTAGAACAGTTTTCTTCTTCTTCTTTTTCCTGCGCGTCCTGCTGTCGGTGATTGGTAGATGACTAGTTGTATCCGCTGGATGGGAGTTGACGCGCTCTGTTGGCCATTTCAGGATCGTAGATTGTGATTTGGAGGAATCGCTAGATTTGCATGCCATCGGTTCGGTAGTGTGTGGCGCAATGGCTTGTGGTTGGACTGATGGTAATAGGCTTGGCCAAATGGACTCATCGGAGGCGTTCGTGACGAAAGTATTGGTAGGAGCCCTGGTTGCTGTGCCATTTGCTGTCGGGGTTTTCAGATGCATTGGTTGTTGTTTTGTGCGTGTCGGTTTCCTGCTGCGTGAAGATTTACTACTTTCCCAGATGACTGGGGTCATGGTGGTTGTGACAAGCACTGGTGGCAGTGGTAAAGGCGTCGGATCAATCTTGGTTGGTTTTCGTCGATGTCGTCCGCCGGATTTGTTGTCTGGTTTCGGTCCTTCCTTATTACGATTAACGCGTTGGTGGCAAAGTTCTCTTGTTCAATCCTTCCCTCAGTAAGGAAAGGCTCTTAGTCAGTCTGCCTGAGATCTACTCAGGACGGTCTTGAAGGGTAAGTTCAGTGCACACAACAGGTGCAATAAAGTGCTACAGATGCAATACTCACTCCTGGTCAACAGGAACACTTTATACTTATGTTAAACTAGTAATTGTGAGCTCTCAGGGCTCCTAAAGTCAACTACGGTGCCAGGTTTCGTGCCACTCGAAACGGGACTACCGTGGTGGCCGAAAATGCACTTTCGGCTACCTTTCGGCCTCCGAATTTCCTACCGGTACATACCAGACAACCAAATATCATCACATAAGGACCTTCTTAGGCCATCTTCTCATAATGGGCTCCAATACATAGGAGTCAAGCACAAAGTTACATGGGCAGCAAGGCCACAGGGACATAGAACAATTTAGTCTTGTAAAGCCAAATTTTGGCAGCAGGGCTGCCATACATTGTTCCAGAGTGACAGACAATCTGAGAAACCAGCACAGTTGTAAAGACATTCAGAGACCAACACTCTGACAAACCAACAGTGCTGGATTCACATCATGTGGCTCCAAACCAAATCCTGTCACTCCCCTTGGGTTGGTGGCACAGGCACATAGAGTCAAACATACACAGTGTAAGGTGGGCACTCAATCATCAAATCGCCCATACAGTACCTGCTTGCAGAGCGGGTACATCTTGTGGGGTCCAAGAGGCTTGGTCCCCATATCCGCAAGGTTCCATCCTGATGCGATCTTCCTAACCTTGGCAACACCAATGGCAACAGCTTCTCTGCACTTGTGGTAGGCACAGGCATGGTGCTTCTTCTTGAGGGAGGAGGATGGCAACTGTAGGTTGTTGACAACTGACATGTTGTCAACCAAGATGGAGGTCGGGGTCTTCACTTCAACTCCCAACATTCTGGCCTTGTACCTCATGGCAAGGGCAGCCTCAATCCCAATCCTTGCTGTGACCAACTCAGCCCCATAGGTGGAGCATTCAATGGTGGCCAATCTCTTGGAGTAGGACTTGGTGGGCATCTGTCCAAAGAAAGCGATGTAGGAAGCCACACATGTCAATCTTGTTTGAAGCATGGCTTGCATCCACCATGATGACTTGGGTGATCTCTGGGAAAAGGGACTCAGGGGCATCTGGGTCAATGGGCTCCATGGAGTCAGGGTACAATCCGGTCCAATCATTCCCTTCAGAGAACTGAAAATCCCCTAGGACAGCTGGAGAGGGGTTGGCAGCAAGCCTAAGCTTGGGCCTGAACTTGAGGTATCCATACATCCTCAGCAAACGGGCCTCATGGCCCTCCCTGGGCTCCCTACCATACCTAGCCATGGTATTGACAGTGTACTGGATGTCAATTCTCCCCAGTGTAACTGCCCACTGGCCACAACCAACCAACATCTGGTACTGGGTAACTCTGGTGCTGTCTAAGTAGGGTGACTCATCCAACTCGGGGTGATCTTCTGGTTCCATGGGAGATCCATAGTTCTTCAATGTGACCTTGTAGAGTGCTTCAAGCTTGGGGATCAAGTTCTCAATGTAGGTTTTGGCAGAGAACTCCCAGAGTCCTGTCTCAGGGTTGAAGGTCAAGTCTCCTCCACTGTAGTACTCAGGGGTGCCTACTCCTTTCATCTCAAACTGGTAGATGTCCTTGAGGGGCTCAATCACTTGGTGTGGGGCCTTGGAGAACACCAGAACATCATCAACAATGACCCCAACATACTCATAGTGGGTCACCCTGTGTCTCATCCAAATGTTGCTATCGGCCCTGGAAGGTTTGAAGCCCATCTGGATGAGGGTGTCTGCAAACATCTGCCACCACATGGCACCAGAGACCTTGAGTCCATACAATGCCCTGATGACAATGCACAAGATACCAGCCAGCTCTCCCCATTCATCTCCAAGGGTCACACAGATCTTCTCAACTGTGAGGGACATCAGGTAGGCATACCCAACATCCCCTGCAATCACCTCTAGTTTCATCAAGGCGGCAATGACAAACACCATCCTGATGTTCTCGAGGTCAACAACACCAGAATAGAGGTCATATGGGTGGTCCTCAGTCATGTGACCACCTGCAACACACCTGGCTCGGTGCCTTCCGTCAAACTTTACAGAGAAGCGCCAGAGCAACTTGATCTCCTGGTACTCATCAGTCACCTCCCCTGGTTTGGCTTTCTTGAAGCAGGGGAACCTATTCTTCAGTGTGTCCACTTCCTTTTCAATGGCATCGGTCCACAGTGAGTTGCCATTGATCTCATCCAGCTTGTAAGCCTCTGCCTTGGTCCTTGGAACCCTCACTCCAAACTCATATCTGACAGCACCACCAGTCCTCTTCTTCATCAGCCTCCATTGCTTTCTGATCCTGAGGAACTTCTTCCTGTTCTTCAGATACTTGTGGGCCCACTTCCACCTGGACTCATGGACAATGCCTTTGAGGGCCGCATACTCTGCAAGGACTGTTGGGCTGTCCTTCCTGATCACTTCCATGGGTTCCCAGGTAGCCTCATCCTCAGTGAAACCACTCCACTTGACCTTGACATCAATCTTTCCTTGCCTACCAGGTTGTTTGGACCATTTGTGGTCTAGGATCTTGTCAAAATCCCAGTACTCTGCATCAGCATCATCTGACTTTGTTAGCATCTTGACGATCTCTTCATACTCATAGATCTTCTGCTTTCCACCCTTGAATTCCACCCTTGCTTGGGTGGAACCATCATCATCATTGTAGACCTCCTTGATCTGACCTTTTACATCTCTTTCCACACCTTTCTTATTGGGGATGCGGTCCCAGATGAACAGGTCCTTGATGGTTTCCTTGGGTACCTCTGCTGGGGGAGCCTTGAACTTGGGTTCCTCCCCAGGTTTGGTGCTAGGGTCCTTCTCCCCTGTCTGGGTGTACACAACAGGGCAGAAAGCTTCTTCGGTTCTGGCCCTATCTTCCTTGTGGAGAACTGAGACAGCATCCCTAGTGGTATCTGAGATGTTCTCCCCTTCAATCTTCCTCACCGCGTATCTGACAATGAGTTGCTCAGTTTCAAGGGTTAGGATCCAAGAACACATCCCATCACCATGGTCCTGAGCCCTGCCCAACCATCTTCCAAGCCTCTCGTTTCCACCAACTGCTTGTCCAGGGAACTTGTGGGTAGGCTCATGGTACAGTACTACATCCCAGAACTTGAATTTGATGAGATTGGAGATGTCTGGGGTCTGCCCAGTAAGTTTTTCAATGGGTGTCCTCCATCCCAGACATTCCTTTGCAGTGTTTCTGTCTAAATCTGCAGCGTGTTGGATGGCCTTTGCCCGCCAGGCTTGGGGTGCGCAACCCGTTGTGATCATCATCTTGGTTACACTCCCCTTGCACACCCCAATTCCGAATTCAGCACGATTTTGGGATGGTTTGAAAGGCTGGGTGAACTTGTCCTTGCACCAGTATCGTCTCATGTAGTCTGTCCAGACCTTGCTCATTTGCATCTTGGAGTTGTCCCGAAGGATGGAGGGAGGGACACCTACTTGTTTGAAGAAATCAAGGAGGGCATTCGGGCCATCCTTTTCACTCCCCAGGCCATAGACAAAAATAAGGCCATAGAAAATCTGACAGGCGTTGTATCCTTCATAGGAGGTGACGGTGGAGAAGAAAGTGTCGGTTGCAAAACCTTCAGGGAGGCGTCGACGCTGAAGGACTGGGTTCATGGATTGGACTTGATTTTTCATTGGGAAATGGGAGTTTATGCCTCCATAGGCAGTGGTAGCAGCAATAGTGTGCTGCACAGTATCCTCAGGTAGATTGAGGAAGTAGGGTCGGACATCCTTTACTGTAGGGCGTTTGGCGGTAGTTGCTGTGTGGTTGAGGTGTGCTGTGATGGAATTTTCCCAGGTTGCAAACTCACTCTGGGTCAATGACTCTTCCACAAAAGTTTCAGGGTTCCACACCATGGGGCTAGTTATTTCATAAGCTCTAAGTGTGGACAATTCTTCCTCTGTGGGCCTCCTGATGGGGAAGCCCAGCAAGGCTCCCCTGACATAGAGAGGGATGACAATATCATCTAGAATGATGCAAGAGTCTCCACCGTGGCGCCTGGCAGTGTCACTAACATAGAGGCCAGCTTCTCTCATCTGAAAAGCTGATAGTAGTGTTGTAGCCTGCTTGTGGATTGTAGCTTCATGGTACCGTAGTAGGATGGTACCTTCTGTGGGGTGATCGTAGGCGGTAACCCCAGATCCAATGGGGACATCTGAGTCTTGAACAGAGTTGCTGTACCCTGTAACGTCCACCTTGCGGTCTGTGAGCGTTTCAATGATCCAAGCAGGTCCACCGATGGAGCCAGTGTCGGCACAGCTGTCTACCAGCGCCTCGTCGGATGCGTTTTCACAAACTATTTTTTCAGAGGCAACTGAGGCTCCAAGGGTCCTTGAATTGATATTCCGTGGCACAACGGTCAAAGAACGACTCAAAACGGAGCTTTTCGGAGCCGGAACGGTCGATTTTGGCCGTTCCAGCGCACCGTAGCGCGTCGGAGGGCCGTTTTCGACCAAAACGGCCGGTTCTCGGCCATTTTCGACTCGATCGAGGTCGTTCTTGGTGTCAGATGGTGTAGACATACCCCCTGGTAAAGCCTCTAGAAGGGCATCTTGGTCCTGCGTCTTGGGGCCAAGATTCGGCTTCGGGATAGTTGATTGTGTCATTGAATTCAATGCATTAAGTCGGCGGAGCTGTGGCAACAGTTGTCCAATGGGTTCATTCTCATGCTCTAGAAGACACCAAATAATCAAGGATCTCATCACCCGGCATCGGCACTCCACATAGTTTTTATTGTTGAGTATATATTGGATAAGAAGGGTCTTGTAGTGCTCCTTCGTATCGGCCGTGCAGGCCACAGTTCTGGTACCAACATAGCCATCTTCATCTAGCTGCAAAAGATGAAAATAATATTGGGCTTGTGCAGTGGAATCGGTCTGGGGGTGTTGGCCCCGCACTCCCCAAGGAACAGTCATGTTGTTGCGTGGTACGGGCTCTCCAGGACCGCGAGGATCATTGGGATCAATATTGTTATCAAAAAATTCATCGGACCATGTAAAATCCCGCGTTTTGAGGTCGTCCCACATTGTTTCACTGTATTCTGGCCTGGCTACCATTTCGATTTTTTCGATGGTCCAGGGGCTGAAAGTTGGGTTAGGAATGATGTTGGCTCCCTCCAGACAGGCTCTATCGATGATGGGGTGAGCTTCCCGTACCCTCCAGTAGTGTTCTGGGTGGGAGAGGTCTCCGAGTCCGAGCCTCACTCCCCTTTCAACGACTTCCATGCCAGGGTGTTGGTTCCGACGAAACATGTTCTGGCGCCGACCAGGGTTGGAAAAATCGATTGGGTCCCTTCATCTTGGTTTCCACCGCTAGTTTGCGAATTGTTGGAGTCGTTGGAATTGTTGTTGCCGTTTTCTGCGGGAGGCGAGGTGTTGGTATTATTCTGGCGGGCCTGTTGGTTTGTGGATTGTCCCTGGGAACCAGAGTATTGGTTGCCATACTTTTTCTTGTCCTGGTCCTTGTGTTCTAGGACCCACTTCTTGTTTTCAGGCGTCATCTGCTTCCAGGCCTTGCTAGAAAATCCACTTCCTGGTGGAGGGCCACCAGTTCCTTGTCCATTATTTTGCTGGTTGTTGTTGTTGCCGGTCCCAGCCTGGGAGTTCAACTTGGCAAGCCGGCGCCGTTCCTTCTTTTCCTTCTTCTTTTGGGCACGGGTCTTTTTGTTGCTTCTCCTATTGCCAGAGTTGTATCCATTGTAGCAGTTCTCCTTCCTTGCTTTGTTGGTCAACCTCAGCTTCAGGTCCTCCAGGGAGTAGTCTGTGTAGTGGTCAAGGATGTTTTGGAATATGTCATCCTCAATACCACTCACAAAAAGGTTTCTCTGCAGGAACTCAGGTAGGGCCACCCCACAACCTTCAATCTCAACAACCAATGTCTCAAACTTGGACTCATACCAGGAGTAGCCTCCCCTGGTTTGCTTGTTGAGCTTGAGGTGTTGGAGGGTCTCCATCCTGTTGGAGGCATTCAATTCTTTGTCACCTCCATGCTCATAGACCTCCACCAATTTCTTCCAGGCTAGGCAGCCATCCAGGGTATTCAAGTAGGCATGAACCTTGGAGAAGGCAGTCCCACCCTCTGTCTTCAGGACTAGGATGGAGAAGAACTCCTGAACTTCGGCATCGTAGGCAGGATCCTTCTTCCTTCTCTTCAGGTGCTCCTTGATATCCTTGTCATCCTTGACGGTAAGGAGATGCCCCTTTCGCATCAGGGAGCAGATACTTAGGGCAGAAAGGTGGAAGGACTTCCAGTGGTTTTGTTTCCCATCAAAAGCCTTGAAGTCAGACATGCTGGCCTTCACCATTGGTTTGGTGGTGAGTGAAGAGCTGGAGAAGGAGGCTAGATGTGAGTCTAGGGTCCCATCCTCAGTGATGGAGTGGGGACCAGCCTTCTTGGTCTTGGGCTTGGGCTTGGGGGCTTCATCTTCATCTTCTTCAGGTTCAGAATCTTCAGGGTCATCATCACTGCTTGAGTCTTCTGGGTCACTGTCACCACCATCTCCAGCACCCCCCTTTTTGTCAAGCTTGAACTTGACCACCTTGGGCTTAGACCCCTTAGAGTCCTCAGTTCCAAGGTTGGATTCAGTCTCAGCTCCACCAGATTCAGTCTTCTTGGTGGATCCCTTGGATGGGGGGGTGTTGTAGCCATCCTTCAGAGTTTCCTCTAGCTCTTTCTCAGCTCTGGCCTTGCTATCCTGCAACTTCAAGAGCTCATACTCAGCTAGGGCTGCTTTCTTGGCTTCGCGGGCCAAGTCAACCTCCTCAATCCACTTGTCCTCGTAGTGTTCCTCGATTTGGTCAGGTCCAAAGTTCTCCTTCCAGTCTCCCAATTCGATATCCATCTTGCGAGGTCTTCCAGTGGTGGATCGGTACTTCCAAGTGTTGAGGGCTTGGGTTAGGGCATCCAGCTGTTCGAGCTGTACCCAAGTGATCTGCTCGGGTATCCCTTCTTCCTTCCACTCCTCCGCGGCCTTCTTGCTGAAGTTGCGGATCAACTTGGTAGGGGTAGTGATACTCATACCCCAAATGAACAGTAGTAGTTCAAGGGAGCACTCCCCGCATTCCATCACGAGGTACTCCATGATTTCGAAGCTCTTCCTTTCCCTGGGGGTCATTTCCGCGATGAAGCCGGCCAAAGCTTCATCCCTTGCTAGGTCCAGGCTGGCCTTGGAAGGGCTGTCTTCATCTTCAGATGCCATCTTGTCAGTCACTCAGAACTACACGACTTTTAATCTGGCAAAGTTCTCTTGTTCAATCCTTCCCTCAGTAAGGAAAGGCTCTTAGTCAGTCTGCCTGAGATCTACTCAGGACGGTCTTGAAGGGTAAGTTCAGTGCACACAACAGGTGCAATAAAGTGCTACAGATGCAATACTCACTCCTGGTCAACAGGAACACTTTATACTTATGTTAAACTAGTAATTGTGAGCTCTCAGGGCTCCTAAAGTCAACTACAGTGCCAGGTTTCGTGCCACTCGAAACGGGACTACCGTGGTGGTTTCGGCCTCCGAATTTCCTACCGGTACATACCAGACAACCAAATATCATCACATAAGGACCTTCTTAGGCCATCCTCTCATAATGGGCTCCAATACATAGGAGTCAAGCACAAAGTTACATGGGCAGCAAGGCCACAGGGACATAGAACAATTTAGTCTTGTAAAGCCAAATGTTGGCAGCAGGGCTGCCATACATTGTTCCAGAGTGACAGACAATCTGAGAAACCAGCACAGTTGTAAAGACATTCAGAGACCAACACTCTGACAAACCAACAGTGCTGGATTCACATCATGTGGCTCCTAACCAAATCCTGTCATTGGGGAGTGTTGACGATAGATACCGCGGAGTCAGAGCCTGTTGTATCCATTGTTTCGATAGAACCATCATTCATGGTACCGGTAGAAGCTTCATCAGCGTTGATTACTTGATATTGCAATAGCCAAAGGTCGTCCATTTGTGCTAGTACTGAGAAGAAGTTGTTCTGCCGAACGAAATCTGTTGGAGCGGCAGCCGCTGTACGTGCTTTGGAACTTGGTGTAGTTTTCCGATTTTGTTGGATGTACCGAAAGCCATCATCTTGATCATCGTCATCAAGTTTGCTTACACTGTGATGTATACTTGCAGAAAAATGGCTGCTCTTAGTAGTCAGCGATATCGATTTCGATGGTTTTTCCTTGGATTTCGCCGGCACCAGTTGCTGCGAGCCTCCACCCATGGTAGTAGATCTGTCTACTGATGCTTTCGTGGGGATAGCTGCTGTTGATCGCTTGCAAGATGGACCACGAGGCGCCATGGTGGTCCTTTTCTTGTTGAGTGGCTTAGAAAACGGCAAGTTTACTATAGGAAAAAGAGTACAAATCTGGGAGTAATGTGCGTCAATCAAAGGGTGATTCCAGTTCGCGCAGAGCTGAAATTGTTCAACCACTGAATGATGAAAATAGTAGATATGAGTTTTGTTTTCTGTGCTCAACTGAAGAAAACCGGCGACTTACCCTTGCTTTTCAAAGTTTCATTGATTCGAATAATTAAATACCAACTCATCTGTTGACGGCCGAGCTTGGAATTCTCTCTTGAATACCATATGAATCCAATGAGGGAGAGAAGTCAGCGCTGCACCTTCAACAAACACACTTGATAATAGGCTTACCTCGAATCGATTGAATCATTCGATCGATCGGCCGATTGGATAAACCACTCACCATCGTTGTCGGCCAAGCTTGGATTTCTCTCCTGGTTGCCATAGAAATTCAATGAAGGCGAGATGTCAGTGCTGTGCCTTCAATGATGGACTTGACTTGAACCATTCATCGTACTAGTACTGTACTCAATCAGTTTATCCTTAACCTTAGTAACTTCAACGGTTCTTTTATTCCACGAATCATCTAAATTTTTTGAAAGGGAACTAGTTACTTAACGATACACATAACCGTTGATTCTGCAACTGAAGTGCCGCTACTCTAATTTACACAGTAAATGCCGGCAAATCGATTTCAGAGTGCATCTTAGGGGGTAACCAAAAGGAGCGCCGTCTCAAGGAGACAGAACAGGAAATAGGAAATACCAACAAAGGGGGTGAGGACTCAGGCAGATAGACTGCCGGGGTAATAATTCCTTACAACCCGATTGCTCTGATCGGATTTAAAATAATACTAGTTTCTTTAGGGTCTCGTTTTCACCCCAATCTCCAATCCAGGTTGGCTGCTGGTCCCTGCTGGATGTGAGTTGCCAGGGAGGGAGACGAGAGGAGGAGGAGCACCAAGATGCGCGTAACATCATGTTACGTTCTTGCAGTCATGCAACAAAGCTGTTTGAGAGCTCACATTCAGAAATCCAAGACCCCCAGCACTGCCGAAGCGGATTTATTTGCTCGCTGAGCAATGTAGCAAAGCAAAAAGAGATGAGGACGCTCCCTGCGAGACGTCACCGTGAGTCGCAGTTGCTTGGATACTTGGTTGTTGGTTGATGGCATTCCATTAATTTTTTTGGGGTGAAAGTTCGCAACTTGGCTACCATTGCAGCCTGATTTGTTTTTTTAAAAAGGGACCTTTAGAAATCCGAAATGCAACCTGCAACCTATTACTCGAGTATAACCTAAAAGTCTGAGCTGCGAGGAGTACTCTATTAATCATTCTTATAACGGGGAAGAATGGCCTTTAAATCCGAACGGTAAAAGAGGGGCAATAAACAATGCAAACACGATTGACAGGCTGTATTGTAAAACTGGTATGGTCCCGGCGTCCCAGCGTCCCAGCCTCCCGGCTATCGGTATCAGCAAGGTTCTCGAGTGGGACCTGTTGCACTGAAACGGGTGCTTTTCCTGCTACTACTGCAACAACTGGATCGTCTTTGGGTGCTCCAACCCAAAAGCACAAAGCCATTACAACATGAACCCATCAATTGAAAAAGCGAGCCTCAAGCACCTACAGGATGAGGCTGTCGTTAATTCCATCATAGCAAACACCCAGAAACCAATTCCGACTTCAGCCAACGAAAGCACATAGCAAGATGCTGGTCAAAACAATACATTTACTGGAACCAGTAGCCATCCCACCATCAGTCAACTTCCACAAAATGAGGATTCCTTCCACAATGGCAGTATAGAATATCTTTCAGCCGCTTGCAACCTAGACGACAGCCTTCCAGGGGCATTTTCTGTTCGCGGCATTGGGACATCTGGTCAATCATTGCCAATCATTGCCAATCATTGCCAATCCTCCTCTTGTTGATGAAGAAGCTCTGGCAGAAACAGAGCCTGTGATTGGTGACGCAGTTGTCCTTGAAGAAGGAGAAGAAAATGAGGACAAGTCTCGTCACAGCCACAGCTATCACACCAACCGATCCACCCGGCAAACTGTTGAAGTAATTGATGGCAGAATCTCCCGGAAGAACAGGGGAAAAGCTGGAAGGTGTACCTATTGCTGGCCATGTCCTGCTTATTGGTAGTTGGTTTGGTTGTCTTTCTTGTGGTGTACCTGACCCCACAAGAGAAAACGGAGGAAGTACCAGCAGACAAAGATGCAAACAAGACAATCAATCAACCAATCATATATCCCCCCATTCAAGAAGACCTTCCAATTTCCATTCAGGAAGAAATTCAGACTGTCCACTCTCCATCCTACAAAGCCAATACTTGGATGTGGAATGATCCATACAGAGACACCTACTCGTTGGATCGACAGAAGCAGAGATTTGACATGGCTTTCCTCTACTACCTTACCAATGGAGACAACTGGTTTCAAAATGACCACTGGCTCAGTTATACCATGTCAGAGTGTAACTGGTTCTCGCAGGCCCACAATGAGAGCATTGCCTAATATGGTGACTACCCTCTGTGCGATGAAGACAGCAATCTGCTCAAGATCAGTCTGGCAAGCAACAACTTGCAGGGCACTATTTCAAAAATTGCCGGATACCTTGGAAATATTCGAGTCTTTGATATTGATGACAACAGCTTGCATGGAAATGTGCCAACAGGAACTACCAATGCTGCAATGGAGGTCTTCATGTGTCCAACAACAAGTTTTCTGGGAGCCTTGTGGAAGGCGGGGAAGGATTTGCTTCCTTTGACATTAGAGTGATCAAGCTGGCAGGAAACGAGCTTTATGGTCACCTTGCTCCTATCATTCCTTTCTTGAAAAAGATGGAAGTGGCAGATCACTCCTCTACTCGGTTTACTGATGTAGTTGATGCAACTCATGTCGGGGCTATCCACTGTCCCCACTTCAGGGAAGTGTCCATCCGGGACACTGCATGTGTGGGCATGCTGCCAACAGAGTTGGGTTTGTTGACTAACTTAGAACACGTGGACTTGTCGGAGAATCCAGACATGGTTGGCCCAATACGAACTGGATTTGCAGGATTACAGAAGCTTACATATTTGGATCTTGACAGCACTTCGCTCACAGGTGAGGTTCCTGATCAACTTTGTTTTTAAGGGTTGCGGATGGCAGCCTGGAGATAAGGGCGAATTGTACCATGTTGGCATGCTGTGACTACTAGAAAGTTGTTGACATTTGTGGTGGAAGGTTGTGACTACTAGCTAGAAAGTTGATGGTATTAATGGTACAACCACAAGCAGTCCATGCACTGGGCTTCATCTGAAAGAGCGCTGCTCGTTTTTATTCGTTTCTTTATTTGTTTGCTTAGCTATCCAATTTCACGATTGCATCCTTCTATGTTCTTTTGATCGTATCAAGCTAGCTAGCTAGTGATCGTGATCGTGTTGGCTGTGGCTATGACTGTGCCCGCTGTCAGCGCATTCGCTGTGATCGTGTCCGTGAAGACATTTTCCCGATTGTTTGGAGAGGTAGTTGGATCCCAAAAGACAGGCACATCCCAGAATGTTGACCAATCGATGGGTAATACCGTGGTGAACGGCATGCAACAGCGGATACAGGAACTTCAACAGGACCGTGTCATGAACGGCGTGGAGTAGCCCATGTGGAGCATTGGCGGCCAGTACCATGACAAGTCCCAACACTCCCAATGAGGCAATTCTCTTTTGACGATGCGCGTAGAGATAATTCAAGAGCGTCGCCGAGCCTCCCACAGGCAAGACAAAAAACAGCGCCACTTGATGTCCCAAGTGATGCAAGAATTCCATTTGTGCCGGAGAGGCGGCGACCAATCCAAAAAACGGCAACACGACCGTCACCACCGGTAGTACTGTGCAATCCAAGACACATAGCAACGAGGCAATGTTGGATGCCTTTAAAAGTTGTCCTCTCCATCCCGTCACTTCCGGTGGAGAGGAGGAGGATTCACTGTTGGTGGCAGATGTCAGCCGTGTGGGTGACGGGGTGACGTCTCGCGTCAGGGGCAACAAGGATGGTTTGCTGCTGCGAGAAACGCGGCCCGTAGGAGAGAGGGAGGCAAAGGCAGCATGAGCATCGTTTAGAAAAGCCAAGAACATGATGAGAGACACTGGCACTAGCAAGCCAAGGCGGCGGTAGTGGTAACCGGCGGCAACCATTGTCGATTTTTGCTGTCTTCTTTCTCGTTCCAAACTTGAGTATAAATGTGAAAGATATTTCCTCTCTGCAAATAATAGATATTTTTATGATGAATTTTGTATTGAATTTTTATGACGTAACGCGTTAGTGTGACGAAGTGAGAATTTAATTTCGGATCATCATCAGCAGAATTACAGCTGTCTCCTTCTCTTCGCAGAGGACGTCAGCTTAGCTGTCAGTGCGTTGGGCGCCCCAGTCGAGTCCAGAGTTGGAGATAACCAAGGTTTGGGTGGCCGTGCGGTTTTGCCCTGGACTGGTTCTGGAGTACGTTCAGCGGTGGCAAGGTCCTGGAGGGGTGCAGGTGTTGTCTAGTAGCTACCGGTAGCTGGACTTGGGTGCTTGGGTCCGGGTCGAAGTCATGCATTTCAAGTGTTGGTCCTGTTGATTGGTTCAGGGGCTTGTGATACTTTTGCAGAATCAGCATGCTAGTTTGGTCTCGAGCGACAGCATTGGTCAATTGTATCAAGAGGCAGGACATGCAGGGAGAGACAATCAGAATCCAAAAGAAAGATTAGCGACAGACTATATTCCAGCCAAAACTGAGAATCGAGGTTATCCTTGTGAAGCGCATCCAGTGGTGTACCTGTACCTGGTACTTGGTCGACTGAGCTGCTCCCGGTAGCTATGTACATGTATCACCCAGAGCTACATGTATGTGGCCATTGTCCAACCCACGCATCATTCGAAGCAGGCGATGGCCCCAGAATCATTCGACAGCTCGCGCTGGCTAAGGGAGAGGACCAGGAGCTGTACCTGGAAAAGGGGAGTTGGAGTCAAGTAATGTACCTTTGCCAGTACGTTGATGCAGTCCAGAGAGAACCTTGTTGCTTCGCTCCTGTTCAACATACAGTTGCACTTTAGTGGATCGAACGCCATTTCATCCGTTCTTCTTCTGAGATCAAGCCGCTTGCTCGTTTCGTACTTGAATGCAACGCTTGTCCTCGCCAGGCACGCAATCACGTCATCTTTGATTGAGGGCAGCAATTATAACAGCTACTACCTGGTACTTGGAAAAAGAACTAATCGCTTGAAATACTATTTGTGAAAGCTCATCCATCAATCCTTTATTCTATAAACTGTCTAGCATATGAAAGCTCGTTCTATACACACTGCTTGCACAGACAGCTGTGGTCAGGGGAGGGCGTCAGATCAAGGATGGGTGCTGACGTCACAGCCCAAGGCTCATGCCGACAGCACTAGTTTGTAGCTCACTCCTTTATCATCCACTAGTCATACCATTAGATACAGTAGGGTCGCCCATACTAGATTCAAGCATCGACATTGAAAATCACTTGGGACATGTGTTCCACTTTTTCTGTTTCTGGAAGCAGGGCATTGCCAACTACTCTCCTATTCAGTTGCCTTTTCGTTCCATTGGCATTCAACGGAATTACCAAACTGTGGTTCTTCACCACAGCTTCCCAGTTGGGTTTCTTTGACTTAAACGTCGTTGAAGAAAACTCAGGGAGCCAAGTGAAATCTCCTAGAAGCTTTTCCACACCGTCAAGCTCATCCCAGGTCAAGTCACCGGTTGCCTTCTTGAACGTGAAAGTTTTCTCTTTTTCCGGGACAACCGGGACGTAATTGCAGCACATGAGCGGATCACCTTTTGCATTTTGGAATTTCTCCTGGAAGGCCTTGCTGAAAACAGAGCAATACCACAACACTTTCAACGGGTGGAAGCTGTGTGTCTTGGAAATTGTGTCCTGTATCATGTGAAGAGACCAGTCCTCTATGGTTTCGGTTGTACCTTCCTTTTTTCCCAAAACAAACATATCCACAGCGTCAAAAGAGGTTTCTATGGGTTCCAATGCAACAGCACCAGCTTTGTCGCACAGTAGCAGAAGCGCTCGCCCCAACTCATCTTGCAGTTTATCGGTTTCAAAACTGATGACCTTCTGGCACTCCTGAAACTTGATCTGCCTCACTTGATGTTTCGGTTTGTAGGGGTAGCACTGGAACTGTTGGATGACACCATTGGTGATCAGAATGTGAACGACCTTTTCAAACAAGACACCTTTAGGGGAAGGCGTCTTAAAGACGCTGATCAGCAAATCCTTCAGAACACCATGGTCCATACGCTTCGTGTGTTCCCAGAACTTCACTTCTGCCAAAGGGGAGCAGAAGTGCCATCTGAAGTTTTTGAAACAATCACTCTCCCTTGGATTAATGTTTGTGGGCTCTGGTGTAAGGATATGACCAGGGGAATTGTTGACAGCCTTACCAGAGAACTGCCTCTGTACTTCCTGCCTTTCCAGCTTTCTGGCCATCTTTCTGGCGAAACCCTCATCGATTTGTTCAATGAGCGCATCGAGTTCCTCTACTGCCAGTTTTTTCGCGTTTTCTTGATCATCGGTGTGCCGTGCTATGAAGCTGTCCAAGGCTCGCATGTTACCACCCCATATGCCATAGGACGCATCTACAGCTCCAGCATCTTTTTCTTTGACCGTCAACATCTCTTCTTTTTTCCAAGTTGGAAGATTCATGATCCTCGGATCACCATTGCTTGTGTCAAAAGCAAACTGGTAATTTTGTGCCTTGGGGGAGGAAAAAATCAATGTTACTTCCCCTGGACCAGTCCTGACCCTTGCAGTGTTTTTTTTTTGCTCCAGAGTTTCTTTCGATCCAGGTGAATCATAAACATAGACCCACTCGTTGTCCAACGCTGTGATGTTTCCAGGGGCAACACCATGCTCAACACCACCGACGCCGCTGATCTTCCATGCACGTCCGTCATACCCAGAGTGGAAGAATATCTTCTTTTTTGCACGGAGAAGCTCTGTCATGAATGCATTGATGAACCAGCTCTTTCCAATTCCAGATGCGCCACTTATGACATACAATACTGGACCTGGCTTCTGTTGATACAATATACGGTCCAAGATGACAGATCCCATATCTTGAACACAAGACCTGAGGTAGAAGGGCTGGCCCTGTTTACCCAGGTACCAATTGTAGTCTTCCTTTGGAGGAACCACCTCCACTATTTTGCCTGCCGCCTGCTCGCTATCATCATCGTTTGTAGGAGCCCTGTCAACGGTCTTCTCGACCGCTGGCTTCTTCCGTGCCTCCGATAAAGTCTCAGTCTCTAGCTTTCTCTTCCTCACGACAACATCCGACTTCCCCCCCAATGCGACACCACCATTTCCATCTCTCTGTTTGTGTCGTCCAACTGTGGCTGTTGCTCTGGCAGGTTGTTAGCAAAATACGATTTGAATAAATTCAACAATAAAACAAACGAACCAAATCCAACTCACCATTTGCCTGCTGCTTCTTAATTACCTGAATGCGATATGTTGTCTTTCCAATGGTCAGGGTACCGCCGTCGCTATGAAGAAGGGCCCCAAATTCCTTGAAGGTAGGCTCGTCCCCGTTGGCTTTGCTGGCAACAAAGTAGGTAGAGTACGGTGTGGTAGTCGGTTGCGTTATTCCCTCATCGCCCCATTCCACCGAAACACCCGAAGTACTGTACTTTCTGACACTTCATCGTTGAGGATCAAATACAGTACGTAATAGGATGGAGGTGGTCGCCGATGAGGGAGGTTCCAAGATCGGGTTTACTATGGATTAGAGAGCTAAGATGAGGATGGGGACAGAGCTCGAGGGGAGGGCACGACGCGGGAGGTGGGTTGTGGTGTCGTGGGGGTGGTGGTCTGGTGGCGAAGAAGAGCCAGTGGGTTGGTTGTGTGTAAGATAATGAGGTGGAAAACCTCAAAGCAAGCAAGTCTTGCTATGACATCACATGGGACACCAGCTTACTAAGTGGAGGAGCATGTAGAACCCAATCTGCTCATTTTATGAGAATTGACTCCCAAGCGATCAGATTGGATGCAGATTTCATCAAACAGAATAAGAGGCAAAGCCTCACAATCCTTAGACATCAACTTTTGCAAGCAACAGTTGACTTAGCTATCATTAGCCAGGGATTAGCATAGAGCCAGTAGATTGGTCTGAACAAGGTTCCCCACTCTACTCTTCTATAAGAACACGCTTCCTCTGCGCAAAGCATTGCTATCATTTCTTTTGCGCTTATTAACTTCCGTTTCGAAATATTGATCCAACAGTCGACAAGTCAAGAACACGACCAAAATGCCGAACGCAATTAACCAAGATGGTCTGCCGATCTTCGATCAACTAGGACGACTATTGAGTAACAACAACAACAACGATGTAACAGATGTCGATGGAAACATCGTTCCGATCAATCAGAATGGAGATCCAATCGACGAACATGGACAAGTCATTGGTCAGCCTCCAATCGGAGTCCGCGTGCAAGCCTTGATTGTTGCGATGCACGTCAATGTCAATCAAGCTGGTCAAGCTCCTGTCATGCAGGTTCCACGCCAGCCACCAGTCGGATATGGTCGTACTCCTGCACGAGCTAATGGAACGAACACATTCGATTACACCACACGCGAAGGTCAAAGTATCTTCCGCGACAACACGAAGTCATTGTACCGAGATAATGAAGATTGTTTCAATCTATCAAGCACCAAACTCAATGGATTCATGAGCAAAGTGGAGCACCGTGCCAACAACGCTGGATGGACGATCATGAACGTTGATGTGGGAGAAGGACACTTTCGGAACATTGCGACTCAGTACGGAGAAGTCACCATGGACCATGTGTGGGAATATGTCCACACCTATGACAGTGCATTCAATCGAGCTGATCAGGATGATGCCCAACTATTTGCCTGTCTCATTGCGTCTACAACTACCGGAGCACAGGAAACACTTGCTCTCAAAGAAAACCTTTACACGACAGCGACCGGAGAGAAGTCTGGATTACTGTACCTCAAGCTGATCATCCAAGAATCAACCATCGAAACCAAGTCGACCATGAACTCATTGTGGACAAAGATTACTGCCGGAATGCCGAGCATGATGGAGGAAAGAGGCAACAACATCCTTAAGTTCAATGACGACGTTCGATCTGTCCAGAAGCAACTCCGAGCACGAGGAGAAAATCCGGAACATCTCATTCCACAACTCTTGTCGGTCTATGCAAACTGCGAAGACGAAGACACTCCATTCCATCGATACATCGAAACCGTAGAGAACAACTACAATGAAGGAACGTTGGAACTAACTACCGACACCCTCATGCACAAGGCTGATCAAAAGTACAAGGATCTCATTGAGAAAGACATGTTTCGAGGATCAACCAAAAAGGATGAAGCTATTGTTGCCCTCACTACGAAGATGGAAGAACTGATGGACACCTGTGATAAACTCAAGAGTTCTGGAGGATCGAACCACAAGTCAAACAACGGATCGAGTAACAAGTATCGCAAACCTCCTGCCTGGGTCTATCAAGAGCCAAACAATGGAGACCCGAAGTCTAAGACGGTGGAAGGGAAGACTTACCACTGGTGCCCTGGAAACGGAGCTCACAAGCCTCGTTGGGTAACCCATCTCCCTGAGAAGTGCAATGGATTGAAGAACGGATCTACCGAAGAAAAAGACGCCAAAACCGACTCCAAGGCAACAAAGAAAGGAGAAAAGGAACCTGTGAAATGGACGACGATGATGAAAGCAACAATCGAAGAGGAGGACATTGATGGCTGAGGAGTATGCCTGGAAGACTGCGTGTCAGCCAGGCCTAGCTTCAGAACAGTGATGATGGGAATGTTTGTGCAAGCAATCTGCTTCATGAACGGAGCCTAATCATTGCTGGGCTCTCTGATGCTAGTTGGTTTTATGATAGTAGCGTTAACAGTACTTAATGAGTGCGAGTTGACCTACACAACGGACCAACTAGTAGATAGCAAGCCGATCACATTAATCAAGTTCCTCATGTCTTGGATGACGAAATGGATAAGCGAATCATTCGACAAAACAAGAACAACTCTAACGACCAGCAACTGGATGCTCAAAGCATCAATCAAAAAGATATCGTCACGCAAGAAGTCAAGATGGAGACGAGCTGCAGCAATGTTCACGTTCATGACCTCAATGAAAGGAGTCAAGTCTCAAGAGATGAATCCAATGAATCAACCAACGTTTGCCTACAAAGAACCTACCAAGCTATCGGTCCCAAATCCATTGTGGTGGTCCTTCCAAGTGATGGAATCTATATGGGATAACACTCCGGAAGTGGCGGACAATGTCTACGGGCAATGGATGTATCGCAGACACATGCGACAGACAACACCTCCATGGAAACAGCATCACGAGCGCCCACCATCTGACTCACAACTATTCTACGGAGGAACGTCCATACTTGCGTCACCGACGACTAAACCTCCAAGCAATCGTCTAACGGAAGATCCAGTACAAGGAAACGTTGCGATCGACGTCGATGAGAAAGGAGCAATCACAGTCATGTCAACAAAACTTGGAACCAAGCAGGCTACGATGGCTTTTGATACAGATGGAGGAGACGTCGGTATAGACAATCGATGCACTGCCTGCATGTCACATGTCAAGAATGACTTCGAAGGGGAACTGACAGCAGTCAAGTGCAAAGTTAGAGGTTTTCACGGAAAGAAAGTGCAAACCCTGTACAAAGGAACTATACGTTGGCTGATCCAAGACGATGAAGGGACAGTTCACGTGGTACGCATCCCCAACTCTTACTACGTGCCAGAGGGAGAGTATCGACTCATTAGTCCACATCACTGGGCTCAAGCAGCAGAATCATTGAACGATGGGAACTACTGTTGCACAATGCACGATAGAACTGTGCTTAGCTGGAAGGATGGCAAAGCGAAGAAGACAGTGCGAATAGGAGACAACAACGTGTTCACCTTCTCGCTAGCACCAGGTTACCAGCAATTCGAGACGTTCTGCACCCAAATGGGTCTGAATGTATTCGAGGAAGACGAATCACCGTGCTGTATGCCATGCTCAACCGTAGAAGAGGAGGAAACCACCGATGACACGGATGATGATGAACAAGTCGACGTCATCGACAAGAGTAACAACGGCGGATCAGCTGAGATATACGAACAAACCGAAGACACAATGCATGAACCGCGCATGAATGATTCAGCTGAACTACTCCACTACCACTATGCATTCGGCCACATTCCACCAGCAAGGCTGCAACTAATGGCAAAGAAAGGCATCATTCCACGTCGCCTAGCAAAGTGTCCAATGCCCATCTGCGGACCATGCATGTATGGCAAGAGTACAAAGAAAGCCCGTCGAACTAAAGCCAAAACGAAGCTACAAGTCACGACGGTTAATGGCGCTGGCGACTGCACATCCGTGGATATATCAACGTCGGCGACACCAGGCTTAGTCGCTCAAATGTCCGGCAAGCTTACAAAAGCAAGATACAATCACGTCTGTGTGTTTGTCGACCACTTCTCGGACCTAACATACGTCTACCTGCTTAAAACACAAAGCAGCGAGGAGCTAGCTGAAGCCAAAGCAGCTTATGAAGCCTATGCTGACTCGGTTGGAGTAAGCATCAAACACTATCATGCCGACAATGGAATCTTTGCTGCCAAGGAATGGAGGGATTCGTGCCGACGACAAGGACAAGGACTGACGTTTGCAGGAGTCAATGCACACCACCAGAATGGCAAAGCCGAACGAAAGATTCGGTCGTTGCAGGATCTGGCTCGCACCAGCTTAATCCATGCCAACCATCGCTGGAGTGATGCCATTACAGCCAATCTGTGGCCATACGCCATGCGAATGGCTGCCGACTCCTTGAATCACACTTTGTCTCCATCACATGATAGCGAACTATCTCCGCTACAAGTCTTTGCAAACAGCAACGTCGAGATCAATCATCGGCAGTGGCACCCTTTCGGATGTCCTGTGTATGTCTTATCCGTGCAACAGCAAACTGGAGGCCACCAAAACAAGTGGAGGGAGAGAAGCAGACTCGGAGTGTACATCGGACGTTCACCAATGCACTCCAGATCAGTGGCACTTGTATTGAACCTCTCCACAGGGCGTGTTTCCCCGCAGTTTCACGTATACTTCGACCCTTCGTTCGACACAGTTCAGGCAAATTCAGGCAATCGAGTGCCCGCATCCAGCTGGCAAGCTATGGCAGGATTCAAAGGCGGTTCACCGAAGCAGCATGTCGACAGAGATCGCACGCAGGAAATGTCTCCAGCGTTCGTGTTACCAGCTGATACAGGGACCCAAGCGAGCAGTGATGAACCACAACAACAAGCGGAATTGCCAGCAACAAGAGTGCAGTTCGAGCACTGCGACAATACCATTGTGCATAGATTAATCTAAGGATCTAAGAGATGCAAAGTTTGTATTTCCAAATAAGTGAGCAGTTATTGATTATTTTCTAGAATAAGCCTGCTAATTGTAAAGCTGTAAAGCTGAATTGTAAGCTGTATCCCGTCGCACTC